CGTGTATGTCCTAAAAGCCCTTGGGAGGAAAAAAAGAAATCGGGTATCTTGCTCTTGCCCAGATGGATAGTGCAGTAGGGTATGTAAAGGTATCTTTCTCTATGTACTGATCCTGAACACACAAAATACTGATCATGTGTCTGTCAGGCACAGCTCTAGGAGCTTCACATACATTAACTCTCTATTTCGTCCTTACAACAGCCCTATTAAGGTGTTATCCAAACACTCTCCGTTTCCCTAGAGGAAGAACAGGCATAGAAAGGTTAAATTAACCAGCCCAAGTGCACACAGGTTCCATGGTGAGCCAGGATTCAAGCCCAGAGAGCCTGATTCTAGACCTCACCATGAAGCCTCTCCCACTGACTGCTGGACTGTCCCTCAGTGGGTGTCATGGCCCCTCTTCTTTGCTCCCAGCTATGGAAGCTCCGGAGCTCACGTTCATCCAGCACACACACCTGCCTTGTTCAGACACTTGGAAGAGGCTTGGCCTCCATGGAAACCCCAGCAACAGCAGGGTGAGACTCTCCTAGGGACCACTGAACCGATTTCCCTCCCACTGGCTTTCTGGAATGCCTATATTGCTCACATTCTCCTGGTTAAAGATAGAAAAACAGTGACCCAGGTAGCCCACCCTTTGGAGAGGGGTAATGAAGATCCTCTCGTTACTGTGGATCTGCAGAGCTCACCTTAAATTCATCTTTTGTGAAAGGCCACTCCCACCATGACTATCCCATGGCATGGCACGCTGAGAGCTAAGAGCTATGGTGCTCATTGCAGCTGCTAACTGGCTGTACGGCCACTGTAAAACTGAAGGGGGGGTTGGGGTGGAGTACTGACCATGATCTTCTAACACAGTTTTCCACTCAACCTGTACACATTTTGGACCAAAAAAGTCTTTGTTGTGGAGGCGCTGTCCTGTGTATTGTAGGATGTTAGCTGCACCTCTTGCTTCTACCTATTAGACGTAATAACACATTGCCACCCACATTCCTTGAAACAACCAAATGTTTCCAAACATTATGAATATTTGAAAACCACTGCTCTAAAGGAAGAGTAATAATAACAACAAAAACATAAAACAGGTTTTGGAATTCTTACTCTGAGATAGGGTAGGACAGCCCCTCACATGAGATTATCCATCCCAAAATGTCAATATCGCTGAGGTGGAGAGACCTGCTTTAGAAATTAGCAGAAACAGCCACTAAAGTGCAAGGAAGCATGCCCTGTGATCCACGGAGTGTGATATTAAGACGCAGCCAATGAATTCTGGGATTTGATTTGCCCCCTCTGCCAACCCCCTCTCCCCACTGCCCTCCTACTGCTTTGGAAAGGCTAAGACAGACAACACACAGTGTTGGAAAACAAACCAAACTTGCTGACTTCAAAACCCAACAATGATAATGAGAAACCTGTTATCAGGAGTAGTCTTATAAACCAGAAGTATCTGAACAAAGGAAGCCAGTTTTCTGAGGTTCTTGAGTTCTTTTAGTACCTCAGATCTCCCCACTCTGACTGCCAGATTTTTTCGAGAAAACGGTTGTGGTTTGAGTTGTTTTGATTCCCCCTGTAAAAGGGCCCCTCACTGCCCTCAAACCCCTTGGGGTGCTGAAAACGTTTAACTTTGAAAGTAAAAATGTGGGTTTTTTTAAATGTTGGCTTTGTCTGAGGAGCCTCTGAGGGAATTTTAATTCATTCGGAGATAAAGAACAAAGTGCTTCCTAGAGCTCTCTGAAATATAAGTTTGATAATACAAAACAAATGGTTAGCAAAAGCTAAAAAATATTCCTACTGCCATCCATTATCTTCTGAGCAAGGAAGGGACAATATTAGGATACTAAGTATTTGGTTACAAGTTGAAAGACTAAGAGACAAACTGTACCTCATTAACCACATAGTTCATCATTTAACTTAAAGTCATAGAGCCTATTATTTTTTTAATATATTTTATTGATTTTTTTTCCAGAGAGGAAGGGAGAGAGATAGGGAGTTAGAAACATCAATAGGAGAGAAACTTCGATCAGCTGCCTCCTGCACCCTCCTAACCCCCCCCCCCCCCCCCGGGGGATGTGCCTGCAACCAAGGTACATACCCTGATCGGAATCAAACCTGGGACCCTTCAGTCCACAAGCCGACACTCTATCCACTGAGCCAAACCGATTTCAGCCTGCTACTTTTTTTTAATATATGTTTATTGATTTCAGAGAGGAAGGGAGAGAGATAGAAACAGAAAGAGATATAGAGACATCAATGACGAGAGAGAATCATTGATTGGCTGCCTCCTGCATGCCTCAGACTGGGTATCGAGCCCACAACCCAGACATATGCCCTGACTGGGAATCGAACCATAACCTCCTGATTCATAAGTCAACGCTCAAACATTGAGCCAGGCCTATTATAATAAGTGATGATATATTATAATTGTATCTACCTCATGGGGTTATTAATGAATTAACATATGTGTAGAGCTTAAAACAGTATATGCTATGTGTGTTTTTCTTGATTTTCAAAGTGTCAATCGGCAGAAATGAACAAATAGCCCTTACTTCCCTTTTAATGTCACAAAACACTAGGCTTGTCCATCAAGAGACAAGTGACTCTGACAGGGCTAGTTCTGGGCAGGTGCGCCCAAGCTTTCCATGCCTCAGACTACAACCCAGAAGATGAGAGGATAGATTTCTGCAGAATCAAAATCAAGGCCTTTTCAAAAAGACTCTAAAATTAAAATCATGTCTTATCTCCCTATTCTTCCTTCCAGGGGCAACATGAAAAGATACTTCCACAATATTCTCTCTGATTCTCTTCCTTCTTCCTATGGAATCAAATAGCTACTACTATGCTCACCTAAGTCAGGAGGCAGAGTCTTAGGTTCTGACATCTGATGAGTTAAAGGCCTGACTCAACTCTACCCCCATTGGTAATTTAGAGGAAATACACCCAGACACTTAGGCAGAAAGGAGAAAGCTAGCTGCCAGGGTAGAGAAGAGAAGCCTAGAAGAAGGACATTTTCTCATTTATCATCACAATTCCATAAAGTGGGCAAGGCCGCTGTTGTCAAACTCATTTTACAAAAAGAAATCGACAGTCCAAAGAGCCAAAGAGGTCCTGTGGTTTAAAAAAAAAAAAAAAATACACCCCAAAACAGAGATTAGAACTCATTCCCAGATACCCTGGCTAATCTCTTTCCAAAGAGATGGCCCCCTCTTTCAGACCAGAGTGGTACAACTCCACAGTTCCCTAACTTCCTCCCTCTGGATTGGGGGGGGGGGGAGGGGGGGGAGGTAGCGAATTTGTAAAAGAATTCAAGTGTCCTGGGGTGATCGATGATATTTGCCCAACAAAGAAGACCCCCGGCATGGAGGAAAGATACAACAGTTTTGTATTTTAGGACTTGCCAAGGGATGACAGTCTTCCAAGTGTTAACTCACTCCTTGGGCAGAGAAGCCCAACGTCCTTGCCAAGATCCTGCCGGCTCACAGACGTGTTCTTAAATAAACTGAACTAAAGTGCAGAGCAGGGCGACACCCCAGGAATGAGTTAGACAGTGACAGCTGTAGATACGAAGAGTAAAAACTCAACTCAAACAGCCAACCTCTCTGCTCCGACTCCAGGCTGAGGCAGGCAAATGCGTGATCGTCTGCCACGGCTCTAAAGACACCCACACGGCAGCCCACCATCTATCCTTTACTCTCAGGACCCCCAAAATGGGAGTATGAGCAGGTTGCCCCATCCAAAGGCAACGTCGAGAGATTTTTTTCCCCAAAAAAATACGTTCCCACTAAAACGCAGAAACTTCAAGGAGGTCATTGAGCAATTCTCTGTCATTGCCTCACAGCACTAGACACCCCAACCCCAACCCCCAACCCCCAACCCCGCCCCAGCCCATCCCCTCTTCCCAAATCTAGCTGAAGCCCGTGGCCAGGAGAGCCAATCCTGAAATCCAGAGCATTTGAGAAACAATTCAACTCGGAGAGAGAGCGGCTGGGGCCCGGCCCAGCCCCACCCCCATCCCCAACCCCAGACCCGGAGGCGCGCGGAGCTAGGCTCGCGGCCCGGGCAGAGGCGCTTTCTTATGTAAATGACCGCGCCGCAGACCGGACTCGGGCTGGGGCAGAGGGAGGTGAGGGCTGCTAGCTCCAGGGCCAATGGGGTCGGGAAAAAGCTGATTTTCGGAACAACCAAAATTTCAGGGAGACGGGCGCCGGGGGCAGCGGGTCCTCTCCGAATGTAAAACTTCCAGAAGTACCAAAAGTAACCTCCCAAGCCCGCCCCCCACTTGGAGGCGGGCCCAGGGGCCCCAGGCGAGGCGGTTCGGAGGCAGCTGGGGGAGGTGATGCGCGCCCCACGCGGAGCCTCAGTTCCGGGCACCTCAGTTCCGGGGAGGGGGCGCGGCGGGCGGAGTTCCCCTCTTGACTATCTCTCTCTCTCTCTCTCTCTCTCTCTCTCTCTCTCTCTCTCTCTCTCGGGTCGGTCTCTCCCCGAGCCCAGGTCTGCAGGGCCTTGTGGAAGCCCTAAAGGGAAGCACGCTTCCCCAAAACGCGGCCCTTTCGCGCGGGCAGCGTCCGGGCGAGCCCCACGCGGCAGCGGAGCCTGCTCCCCAACCCACGATCCTCCCCACGTGCTCTCGCCGGAATTCAGGCAGCGAATGAGGGGCACCTCCCACGTGGGCCCATCAATCTAAGACTACTGGCCGAGCGACCCGCCCCTCCAGAAAAAAAAAGAAACGAAAAGAAAAGCGGGAGCGCGCGCAGGGCGGCGGGGAGGGAGAGCGGAGCGCGCGCCAGCCCCCTGCCCAGCACACGCGCACCCGCCTGCCCGGGACTAGCGGACGTGGCTCCGGATGCCCAGGAGTTTCCCGGCCGCCGAGACGCCCCGAATCGGGGGGAAGAGTGCCCCGGCAAGGTGAAGGAGAGTTTCGGCCGGGACCCGGGAGAGCGTGGCCGAGGGAACCACACAACTTTGCCGCAGGCGAGCCCAGCCGCCCCCGCCCCGCGCTTCCTTACCTTCTGCACTTGGTCATGGTTGAGCTCCGTGAAGAAGTAAGCGAGCAGATGCGAGGCGATCATTGTGCCACGGCCCGACGGCGCCGAGTTGGAGGGAAACCAAGCCTGGAGCGCTTGTGGGGAAGGAGGGCGGCGCGGTCAGACAGCTTTGGAGGGACCAGGCGCGGTGAATCTGAGCGGCCCGCCAAGAAGGCTCACAAGCGATGATGGCCGGCCGGCGGAAGGGTCTCCGGTCTCTAGGATCAGGTTTTGGGGAGTCACAACTGCTAAAAGACTTCCCCCAAAAAAAGAATCACTCCCGGCGACGTGTCGGGTTGCCCCGCTGTCAAGGCGCTAACTGCAGCCACAGGATCACGAAGGCTCAACTTGGGAAGAATCTCCTCCCGGCTCCACGGGGTGATCGGACCTCTCTTGCTCTTGCCCGCGGACCTTCTGGGCTCGGTGACTCGGCGTTGCTGGCGGCGGCCCGGGAGTCCAGCGCTTAGAGTTTCGTGCAACAATGTGGCTTATTGAGGGGCTGCCGGCGCGCGGGCCGCCCAGTCAGTGACGCGGGCACGCCCATTGGCTGAGCGGGGAGGGTGTGTGCGCCCCGGACCGCCCACCGCCTCCGCTCAGCCAATGAGCGCGCAGAGCCCGTGGGCGCGGCCGCTCAGACACCCGAGCCTCCGAGCCAGAGGGGCGCGCCCAGGGTCGGGGGCGGGGCCGGCGGCCAAGATGCGACGTGTGGTCCGTGGCAAGAGGCTGGGCTGGAAAGGCGCCTGAACCGCCGCCAGGTCAGGCTCCACGATGGGTTGGGTTGGGGGGCGCGTGATCACAGACCTGGTGTGTGAGGCGACTGGAAAGACGGGTCACCCGACCAGCACACGCCCTAGGAGAGGAGAGAGAGATACAGTCTGGCATCTCCCTGTCATGTGAGGGGGCCCCCCTGGCAGGTCACGTTTCTGAAGCATCTTGGTTCTCACCTCTTGTGGCTCAACCATCCTCGCAACGCTGATGCAAAATGAGCCACCGCCGCTGCTGCTTATTTTATTCCAGCCATCGCAAAACTAATGGGATGTGGCTTTTACTAGCCTCGTTTACAGGTGAGGAAACTGAGGCTCAGGGCCCTTAGGAGATAGACTTACTAGCCTAAGGTCACACTGATAATAAGTGGCGGGGGGAGGAAGGAACCCGTATGCGTCTGACTTGGAGACCCTATTCTTTCCCCGATTACCCCATCCTGACACTCTACCAGCCAGGAAAGTAGAAGGCATGAGCTTTTTCTGCAGCTGGGGGACTGATGCTTCGGTGAAACTGGGTGGGTGGCAAATGGGTAACCAAATAATCCTGGACATGTGTGGGTTGGGGTGGGGTGGCTTTTGGGTGCTAAGAGGAATGGAAGTCACAGCCACTACTGATGCCAGACTCCAAATTTATAAACACTGTGGAAGCTGGTGTGAAATAATGGCTGCAGCAGACAAGAGATTGCTGCTTGTGGAGAATAGCAAGCCTGGGGTTGGAGAGGTAGATGAAAGTCTGCCATATTTTACTAGAAATTCACCCCTTTTCTCATCAACAGTGAAGTGCTATCTGCAATGTATATATCATACAAGTAATGAATGGTAGTTGTTGGGAAATAAGAATATACCAACAGGAAAAGCAAAAGCACCCATGATCCACCTCTCAGCAAAACGTCCTGAAAGCAAGGTCCCCTGGCCAGCTACACATTCTCAGCCCTCCTTCTCTGCACTCCAGTCAGGCTTGGGTCCCAAACTGCTTCTGTCATAATCACCATAATGACCTACAGGTTACCAGATCCTGGGTTCCCATCACTTTTCTTCCCTTGTCTTGCTGCACCTCTCAGGGCTGTCAGGCACGATGGACACACCTTCTTCTGTGGGAGCCTGGGAAGCTCCGCCCTCCTGCTTTCCCTCTATCCTCAGCCTCCAGGCAACTCAGCCTGGTTTTTTTCTACTAGTAAGGAGGGCTGTCCTCCTCCCTCTTCCCCGATCTGGTTACATTCTCCCCTGGTATTCCCTCCCAGCCCCATGACTGTTATATCATCTACACGCTGGTGACTCACACCCGTAAATCCACAGTGAGGACCTCTCCCAGAACTCCAGACATATTTCTCCAGCTACCGTGTGTCATGTCCACTGAAGTGACTGGCTTCTCACACTGAGCATGTCCAACGATGAAGTCAACCCTTCTTCCCAAAACTCTTTTCCCAGTTGTCTCACCAAATGGCATCACCATCCACCCTAAGCCATCCTTGTTCCTTCCTGCCATCCACCCTCATATCTAGTCATTCCATCAGCAAGCAGTCAGTGTGACCCATAAAGTGGAGCCTGTAATTGACCACTTTCTCCGTGTCCTGGGACACGTCCTAGTCAAGCCACCAACAACTCAGCCAGAGCCAATGACACACCATCCTACCTTGCCCCTTACCTCTATTCATACCTATCTTTACTCTGACTCCTATCAGCTCTCCTTCACTGAGAAGCCAAAGTGACCTGTTTAATATATAAACCTATATCTATATCTATATCTATATATCTATAGATATATAGATATATACATCTGGCTCAAAGCCACTTTTAATGGCTTCCAATCTTAGATGAAAATTCAAATCTCTGACAAGGACCACTAAGACTATATAGACTTCCTCCATGTGGATGGGGGAGGAGGGGAGGGAGAGTGGAGGGTCAAAGACTAGAGAGAAAGGAGCCAAAGCTGTGGGAGAGAACCTGAACCAAGGGGCGGGGGGGGGGGGGGGGGGGGGAGGAAGGGGTTGGGCACGGAGAGCCAGGGCATGAGATATGGGTTTAGATATTTTTTAATGTGTTTTATTTCAGAGAAGAAGGGATAGGGAAAGATAGAAACATCAATAATGAGAGAGAATCATTGATTGGCTGCCTCCTGCATGGCCCCTACATGAGATCAAGCCCGAAACCCAGGTATGTGCCCTTGACTGGAATCAAACCCAGGACCTTTCAGTCCGCAGGTGGACGCTCTGACCAATGGGACAAACCAGCTAGGGTGTGGGTTTAGATGTTTTAAAGTCTGAGGTAGAATTGATGGCTGTGGTTAGGAGTGGTGGATGAAGAGGATTCCAGTTCCCTAATACACTTAGAGACCCAATAGGCCTGAGCTACAAAACCCGCTGCCCCAGGCAGGCGAGACCAAACCCAGTGAGTCCTATCAGCTACAATCCCTTCTCCACACACTGATTTTAATTGTCTTCTCCACTCCCCTCTCTGGTCCCATTTTATGTGGACCAAATAATAATCACAAAATACTTTAAGTGCATATTATATCTTACAATGTTCCCAATCCTGGAAGATGGATGGAATGGGTTTATTTCAACCTCAATTTATCCATGACAAACTAAGGTCAGTTACTCACACAAGGCTAAGACTTGTGTCTTCAGTTTTTCTGGCTCTAAACTTCATGCTCCAAGTTTATTATATATTGATTCTCAGATCTCTCTCTTTCTCCCTCTCTCTCTCTCCCTCTCTCATTGAAGAGTGATGAGACAGCCATGTAATTTAGATTCCATAGCCCCAAGAGAGAAATCAATCAGCAAATGCTCATTAAACAAACCCTTACAATGTTTAGACAGTCTGCTCAGTGCTGTGAGAAATGCAAAAGAAACACAAGGTGTGGTCCTGGCTCCTCAGGGATTATCTCTTTAATCAGAGATATAAAATCCAAACATGAAACAATGATTACAGAATGGAAAAGTCTGCCATCGAGAGCCAAATGTGTGTGTTTCTTTATAGGTGATGGAGTTTTGAGGGAGGAAAAAACGAGCCCCAGCCAAAGGTGGTCTGATAGATACAAATGCCAGTCTGAGTCTGGCCTCACATAGGACTGACCTGAGCCCGGCTTAGGCTTAAGGGAGCTGTTCTGGAAGATGTTTCTTCACTAAAAGACCATCAGCTGCCATATATTCCTTTTTCTAATTAGGATTTATCAAATTTGCAGCGTCTTATATGTGTAGAATTATGTAGAGACTTAAAGACTGAGGGTGGGCCTGCCCTAAGTGTAAATACATAGGACTCCTCACATCATGTTGACTTTAATATTGGGTCCTAATTATCTGCATGGTTCAATTATAATGTATGAATTTGAAAGGTTGGGAAAGAAAGGCATTGAAAAGTAGTTTAAATCGAAAAATGGAAGCCATGGGATATACATCAATCTCATTTTATCAGTCACATGTGAAAACAGAACCCACTCAAGCTACTTTAAACAGAAAGGGAGTGGACAGAGAATAGTTGTGCCTTTCAGGATCTTCAGGAGAGCCAGAGAACCAGGCTCAGAGGAGAGCCATCCAGGAGTGATATCCACGTCATACCACTGAACTCCACTAGTGGAAATGCTAGTGCTATGGCCACTGGGCCCAGGCCTCTCTGCCCACACCACTGATGCTGGGCACAGGATTTTAAACTAGGAGCCCAGATATGCCACAGCTAACTTTGACAAATATATTTTTATTTATTTCAGATAGGATGGGACAGAGAGAGATAGAAACATCAATGATAAGAGAGAATCATTGACTCGCTACCGCCTGCATGCCCCACACTGGGGATCAGCCTGCAACCCGTGCATATGCCCTGACTGGGAATCGAACTGTGACCTCCTGGTTCATAGGTCGATACCCAACCAACTGAGCCATACCAGCCAGGACAGTACCTCCTTCTTTATGGTATTTGCTTCCAAATTGACATCTTACAGCTATTTGCCACACCCAGTAGTCACTGAATATGCTGCATCAGAAAATTTAAAGTGCCCTTCAACAAATTGGCTTCTTAAAATTACAAAATATATCAAAAATATGAAAATATAGCACATCTGTTCTCAATGGGAGGTATATTGGGGAGGAAGTAGTCAATAGGCTAAATGATGTAGTCGGGCCGAAATCGGTTTGGCTCAATGGATAGAGCGTCGGCTTGGGGACTGAAGGGACCCGGGTTCGATTCTGGTCAAGGGCATGTACTTTGGTTGCGGGCATATCCCCAGTAGGGGGTGTGCAAGAGGCAGCTGATCGATGACTCTCTCTCATCGATGTTTCTGACTCT